CGGAAATACAGTTTCCAAAATCCGAACAAAACTCTACAGGACTTGTTAACTACTACCAAAACATTTGAATGTCTTGTCATGAGAACCGCAATAGTTTGACACGTCAATAAAAGTTGATATATACTCATACAATGCGACTTTATTTTTTCAGTATGTCTTAATTTTTGTGACGAATTTTTGATTTTTCTTCTAAATTATAATTTTCTCCAACTTATTATTTTCCAACTTATTATTTTCCAACTTATTGTTTTCTCCAAATTATTATTTTTTCCAAATTGTAAAACACCTTTGTAAATACATTATTGAATAGATTAAGTCTATCTTTATTTTTTTTCTTTATTTTATTTTATTTTAATTTTAAGTATCATGATTATCTTTGTCGAGTATTGATTAACGATTGTCTTGTCGAATTTTAACTCAAAGATTTTTATTGTCATATGATAAATATTTTCCCCTTGGTGATTTTTAAAAGTTCTTGTTTGACCCACGTGCAGCAAATTTGAACTATTTCAGCCGTTTTAGGCAAGTAGGTTAGTTAAGAATCTCATTTTAGTCACTTACTTAAATGTTACAACCGATGGTAAACCCTGGACGTTTGGACTGGTTGTTTTGGCCATATTAAAACACATTCAATTGAATTTATGATTTCTGCTGCTATTTTCAAACTAGATCAAGCTGACTTTGGTTCTATTACCGCTGCAATATTGCAATCAGGCATTTCCATACCGGTTATAATTTGCATATTTTCTACATTACAAGTTGTTGATAGATTTTTATTACCATGTTGTATTTTATCAGGTAAAATTGTGGTCTTACATGTTTCAGATGAGGCTCTTTTCCAAAATAGATACAGCTGGAGGTATTCAAGGTCACCTTTCCAACCTAAATGTTCGTCAGCTATTTTAAACTGCTCTAAAATACTTGAATCAATACAGTTTTCAATAAAGTTTATGGGAGAGGAAGCTGATAAAGTCACACTTGATTGATTCTCTTCTAAATAAGGAGTCGGAGCCACAGTTGACTCAGATAATCTTTGAAAAATTTTTGTGTAGTCCACACTATTGAAACATCAAATAGAAATACTCCGGTATTTTTAAAACCACTTTTCACATTAATTGCCATAGAAGGATCAATTATAAATGAATTTAATTCTGGTACATTTTCATTGTTTATTTCTTGTCCTTAATGGTCAATGCGCCATTGTCGGCAAAAAGATTTCCACTTTGCTTTCATTGGCCCAAAAACTGCCACATCGAGCGGCTACAAAATATGTGTTGCATTTGGGAATAAAGTAACAAAAATTATTCATTTTAAGAGCAAAACTCACTAAGTTCGATTGAAAAATGTGACGCAAGATATCAAAAAAAATAATAACTAGTAAAGGAATTTCTTCTTTTATCAAAATTGGTTGAAAAATGTTTGTAATATACTCAAAAAAACATTTTGCGGTCATGCAACCATTTTAACTTTTTCCAATAACCCATCCTGACAGAGCAGTATTTATAATTCTATTTCAAAGAAAAACATATATAAAAATTGTTAATGATGGAGCAAAGGTTCCGCTGGCATTTACTGCAAATAAAGTGGTGATGCTTTTTTTATTACTTCGAGCACTTTCTTCATATGTATTTTTTTCTCGTTCACCAATTAATAAATTAGTTTTTGGTGACAACACTCTCATCCATATTGAAAACGCGCATCGAATCATTTAAATGTTGAGCGTTTTCTCCTAAAAGCTTTGGAATTTCAGTAAACCAATCTTTTATGGCTTTTTAAGTTATTCCTCCTCTAGCTCGGTTTAAGTATTCACCTCGTTTTTGAGATAGCTATTCGTGACGGCGAAGAAATGCATAAAACCAACCTTTTGCAGGACGGTTGTTAGTAAATTGTGTTTTTATAATGTTGGAATTCAAGTATTTTTGCACACTATCTAAAAGCTGTACTACAGACATGGCAAATCCCATTCTGGTGCATGTTAGTAATCACTCGTCTAGTTTAGTTTCAATGTGTTCACCTAGTACTGATTCATAACCCCAGTGTTGTATCTTCAGAGAAGTTTTTCCAGATATTTTATCACAAAGCGTCTGATAAGGAATTCCAAACGTCTTGCTTGCTTTGTACACAACCATACCTTTTTTAACAGCACCAATAGCATCTCTTAATTGGCTATCTGTATATTGAAGTCTTCGTTTTGAGCTACAAACTTTTGCTTTATATTTTTGTCTTGCCATTGTAAAAGAATCTAAGTAAAATAATTATTTTTTTTATGTAAAAAAGAACCAAGTTGATTATTTATTGGACATATGATATGTATGGAATGATACTTTTTTTGTTCATACTTATAATACGTTCAAAAGTACTAAACTTATACTATAATGATGAGTGGTTTTAATAATATTAATAATGATCCATGTTTTAGTCCAATCAAATTTGTAGAAAAGAGAAAGAGAAGCAACATTACGACGATGTGACGGAGATTCATGTGACGGAGGTCCAATCAAATTTGTTTTCATAAAAAGTTATGAAACAATGAATTGTTTTTTTTTGAAGGTATATTTTTATACTATTTTGTTTGTTAAAAGATTATCAAATGAAATAAAAATGATTTATAATTTTGCTTACGAAGATTTTTTTTTATAACAATTTTTGCCAGTGTAATAAAGCAAGTGGATAATTCCTTGTTGATATGTCTTGAGACAACTCTGAAAAGCGGGAATCTCAGTGCTGTTCACAAAACTGACAGTGACGGAACCTCTGAAAAAGGGTCCTTTAGAAAATGATTGTAAGTACTTTTGTTGAATATATTTTAAAACACCTTTAAACTATTTTAAAATTAAAAGCTTTAAATTAGTTCAAGAGTTTTAAAAAAATTACTATGTAGATATTGCAAAAGAAAAGAATGAATAATTTAAACACACTGCCAAGTATGGAGTCCGAGTAGTTATATTCAGATCATCCTTCAAAAACATGTTGACAAAACTGAACTGGTTAAATTGACAAAACTGAATCATTGGATTGAGATATAACGCTTTACCACAAAGATTTTTTTGGCCACTTAGTAAAGGTGTTGAACGAAATCAATTTTTTTTTTTTCTATTATTTTACAGGCTATTTTTATTTGTACATTTTTAATTATCCAATACAATGTGCTAAAAGGTTAATAACACAATTTTAAGGTGAGCAGCAAATGTCATAACACTAACACAAACGCGTAAGAACATTATTTATATATATATATAATACATATACGCGTAAGAACAGTCTTTATATATATGTGTGTGTGCGCGCGCGCGCACACACACACACATATATATAAAGACTGGATATAACGGCAAGATCACATTTTGAAAATTTTGACTTTTTTAATTTTCTAGCTTTATAAACTACAGAACCATCTTTTGTATTTGATTTTGAATCAAATAATTGATTTTATGTTTATTTAAAGTTTGATGGAATTATGCCTCTCTTCTTTAATATACAAATAGTTACCTCCCCAAAAAAATAACTTTTTAAACAATCAAAACTTACTAAAAGACATAAACCAAACACTACTCTGTATTATCAAGACTTAGATTAAAAGCTCTAAGTTCTTTTTTTTTCATAATACTCGCAGATGATTCGGTAATGTTTATTACTAAAAAATGGCGACATTTGAACCATTAGAACAAGTAACGAAAAAATTCAAGAAAAGAAAAAACAATGAATAAAGAAAGTTAAGTTAAAAAATAATGAATAAAGAAAGATTGTGCGAAAGTATAAAAAACAAAGGCTAGCATCGCATAAAACAGGGCTTGAATATAACTGTAAAAGTTTGAAATGCTTCGAAATTGTTAAAAGAGAAGATAAAACTATTTTATTAAGTTATTTTAACTAAAAAATTAATGACTTAGTGAAAGTTTATGAATTATTAAAAAAACGAAAAGAACTTCACTTAAAAAAGAAACTTTCCAAAATGAAAGTTATTGCCGTGACCTGGAAAAATAACTTTAATTGCAAAAAAATAAGGATACTTTTGCAAAATACCTTTTCCTAAAAATTAAAAGGTTACATAGAATTTAAAGTTTAATATTGAGTTTTCTCAAAATGAAAAAATGAGACCCTATATATATATATATATATATATATATATATATATATATATATATATATATATATATATATATATATATATATATATATATACAGGGGTGGGACCGCAAAATGTGAACACTTTTCTGATTGTAATAATTAATTTTCTGTTAAATATGAACTATTTTAAATAAGAATGTCCAATGGTTGGACATTCTTATTTAAAATAGTTCATATTTAACAACTCTTTAGACACTTTCTGATGAGTGAGAGAGTACAACTACATCTAACGAGAAAATAGTTATAATAAAACAAAAACGTTCACATTTTGCGGTCCCACCCCTGTATATATATAAAAGGTTAGATGAGAAAAAACAACTTTTTTACGGTACTTAAAGTACCGTAAAAAAGTTGTTTTTTCTTATCTAACCTTTTATTTATTTATTTATTGATCTATTTTGTGATTATTTCACTTTATATTGATCACTCTCAAATCGAAAAAGAGTTGATTATTATCAAATAATCAAAACAACAACAATATATATATATATATATATATATATATATATATATATATATATATATATATATATATATATATATATATATATATATATATATATATATATAATTAAGACCACCTTAGGCTGTCATAAAATGGCAAAAGGAAGTGTGAAAAATATAAAGTAATTTAAAAAAATGACAAAAAATAAAACGAAGAAAAAATGCTACGTTTTATTTGTATGCCAAATATCACATTCAACATACAAATTAGGCATTTTATTTTAAAACTTAGTAAGTCGCTTACTATAAAGAAATTTATTAAATACTTTTTTTTGCTAATTTACGGCAGAATAATAAACGCAATGTATATTCTTTCAGAAACAGTTAAAAATTTTTTACAAAACATTTTAGAAGTGAAAAATATTCTCTAAATAAGATTTTCTATTAACAGCTAAAAAATATTTCCGTAAAGTTCCATATGTAAAAACTGCGCTAAACACAACTTCTAGCAGAAACATTCAAGACATTTTCGTTTTATCTAGATACCATTGAACAAACTCATCAAGCATGACTGGCCCTTTAAAACAAAAATAGTTAATACATAGCATAAGAGTAAACATGAAACATAAGGGTAAAAATATGCATACAACATATGGCACAGCCTCTTTTACCTACTTTTCATGTTTATTTTTTACCAAAAAAATATATAGAGGAGACCAATTTTACTTTGCTAAAAAGTTTTTAAAAATCATTAGGCATAAGTTTTAGCGAACTTCATAAAAAAGTATTATTTATAGATATATCTTTTAAGTGTGTCTAAGGAGTATCGCTTTGAATTATGGTTAATAGACTCACATTACCACGTTTAGTGAGGTAACATGCCAATATACCAATTCTTAAAAAAAATATGACTAAAATCGTTGAGTATGCATTTTAACTAAATTAGTTGACCAAAAGTACAAAATAATCTTTTTATCTGGTAGACATTTTCCAAAAAATGTAAAGTATGTCACATAAGAATACTATTTAATATATATTTTAAAAAATCGAACGTGTAATTACTAATAAAAAGTCTAAACATGAAAAATTTTTATTAAATGAACAATTTAAAACATAAGTTTAATTGACCAAACGTTCTTATGATTTATAGAAGACGATGTGCTATGCAAACGTTCTTATGATTTATAGAAGATGTGCTATGCAAACGTTTTTATGATTTATAGAAGATGATGTGCTATGCAAACGTTCTTATGATTTATAGAAGATGATGTGCTATGCAAACGTTCTTATGATTTATAGAAGATGATGTGCTATGCAAACGTTCTTATGATTTATAGATGATGTGCTATGCAAACGTTCTTATGATTTATAGAAGATGATGTGCTATGCAAACGTTCTTATAATTATAGAAGATGATGTGCTATGCAAACGTTCTTATGATTTATAGAAAATGATGTGCTATGCATCAAAACGGCTACCCAGTGTTAACTACTAGTTTCAATTGTTCAATTATTTAATTTCAAAAATTATCACTACACTTATAATGACCATCTAAATCCTTAAAATCAAAAGTGCTTATATATACTAATTTTCTTTTAAAAATAATTGTTATTTTTAATTAATGTATAGTAAATAACTAGTTTTATAACGGAACAATATGAATAAAAAATTTTGAGAAGTTTTTATACGCTGTATAATGTTTTATTTAAACTTATACCATAGATCAGAGTTTTTTCCAAAAGATTTTATAATACTTCAAATACAGCTAAAAATTTAGGGTAAAAATTAAAAGTTTTTAACCTAAATTTTTTTAATTATAAGAAAATTGGCTTAACTAATACCGGGTTTTGCATTCATTTAAAACAAACATGACATTCGTTTAAAATATCGTGACAATCAATTAAAACAATCGTGATTTTCAATTAAGCATGCGCAATTTCTACGTTCTATATTATTCAAGAAAAATGGTCTTATTTATATATTTAATATTATATAAATTGAATTTTATTAATATTATATTAATTTATTTTGATTTAATGGAATTTATTTTAATTTTAAATGGATGCCAAATTTGTTTTAAATGGATGCAAAACCCGGTAAGGCACATGTACACAATACACACGTGTTCACATATTTATTAAGTTTATTTTTACATGGTCTTATCTTAATGGTAAAACAAACATAACGTTCTTTTAAGACATGCATGATGATTAACCCATTTTATTATATAATAATATTCATTTTGTCTGAATCAGTAAAGCGTTTAACTGCTTTGGATAAGGCGTTCATTTCATATTCGGAAAAATCGTGGTTCGAATCTCCATTTGGGCAATTTTACTTTTTTTTCTTTAATATCTTGTTGCTCGTATAACTGTTGTAAAGCCATTCTCCTATTCTTGTTTTATAGAATATACATCTCTCAACATCAAGCCAATCAGTGTATTTCTAAATGAGGTGTACAAACATACCGACAAAATATGAAAATGGAAAAAATGACAAAATAAAAGTAAAACCATAATTAAAAAGTTAAGAGCCAAAATATATGATTCTTGATTTTTAAAAAACTCTACCAATGTTAATAAATCTTTTTCTTATAGATCTTAATTTTTTCCTGCATGTTTTTGTAACTTCTAATAATTTCTGCTTTGTGTTTTTGGTCTGTTAGATATCTCTTGTATTGGATGGCATGTCGAGCTCCTTTTCATTCCGTGTGTGTTATACTGAGTTCTTTTTCATTACAAAACACCTCAAAATAATCTTTGACAGCCATTGTTATGTTGCAAAATTTCAGAATAAACACTAATTTCAATTAGCTCCTTTACTAAAAAAAATAAACTTAAGGAACTTTTTGACCAAATGAGGACATGCAAGGTTTCTTTGGGATTTCGAGTATTTTGACAACAATTCTTTAACTTTAAGACTTTTTATGAAGAGCTGAATCAAAAGATTGACCTAATTTGATGATTTATGTTTATTATTTTCATTTTGCTTAAAACTTGAAGATGCCTAGAGTTAACTAGTTAATTCCTAATTGATTCCTAAGTACAAAATAAGTGGTTTCATTTTCTGATAGCTTTCTACTGCGATTTTACTTGTTACTCTTTTTTGATTTATCTATCAACTATATACTTATAACTATATATTAGATCGACTGTAACAACAAAGTACTTGTATAACAAACAAGTACTTGTAATTGTTAACTAAACAAATACAAACTATATCACAATAATTTGATTGATTTTTAATCTAGTTATAAATGAAGTTGGAAAATAGTTCAGAGATTTTAAATTATGCAAAATAAGCTTTGATGCTGCAAGTAACAGCATTTAGATCACAAGCCAAGATAACATTGCCTGCAAAGCATTTAAGAGAATGAATGCACGCTCAAAAATAAAGAACAGCAAAATTAATTATACAATGCTATTAGAACATTGCTATGGTGCAAAGAAATATGTATGAAATGAATGATTTTTAATATAAGGCTGTACATTCTTATAGTGTAAATAATTTTACAGTGTTTATTATGTATAAAACCTTAAAAATTTAAATTGAATATTTTAAGTATAAAAAAAATGTTAATAAAAAAAAAATCAAATAAATTCACTGGCATACCACTTTAAACTACCTTTAATAAACCATTATTTGTCAGAGCCAATTTTCAATACTCTTTAGTAAAAATTTGCATAGAAATAAAGAAAATTTAGAGAGAACCAAAGAACATATAGTAATAAAAAACTTTTTATCTAAAGCAGTTTTTAAGAAAAATTGATAAATATCAATTAGACTCATTTTACCCATATACCCTCACATTGCCTAATTACTATCCTAAACAACATACTATAATGTATGCAATAATATAACAATACAATTATTATAATAAGAGATTTTAGTAACAAACAACTAATTTTTAGATTAATTTTTTTATACACCACAAGTCTGTATTTTGTATTATTTTGTACTTTTGTCTACTTTCACTATGTAAAAGTAAATGTAAAACAATTTTGAAATATTTCTAAGAAAAATTTATCTTACAGGCTCCAGTTTCGTCATATTTAGAGAAATCCGATGATGAAACTGTTCGAATAAACTCCAGTAAACTATTCCATTGATCACGGTTTATAATTTTGTACTTTGATTGCTGTTTTAAAAATGAAGTAAAAATTTTTAATAACTATTAAAGCTATTATATAATGCTATGCTAATAAAAATTGTTAATAAAAAAAATGAAATATAAAGTTGCATTCTTTTTCATAAATTTCAATTATATATTTTGTTCTAACAATGTTTAACAAGATTTGAGTTATGTCTTGTTTAAAAAGAGTTGTGGTTTGTCTTGATTAACAATCTTTATGTTATGTCTTTTTTAACAATATTTGTGTTTTTAAATAAATAAAAAGAAAAAAAAATATTTTTTTATTTTAAACTTGCCTAAAATTTTTTTTTATAAATGATCTAATAAAAATATCCAAATAACCCATAATTCATTAAACTATATGGTATTTTAGTCATATTGATAATGAAACTTTAATATATGTAAAAAAACTTACATTAAGAAACTCAATGAAATCAGAAATAAGAGACCAAGAATTATTTAATAGAAGCAGTAACATTGCTTTTGCTGTAGTAATGTCAAGACTTTTTTGATCTTTATCCTATACACAAACAAACATAAAAACAAAATAATTGAAACCTTTAAATTGAAAATTTTAAAACTTTAAAAACACGTTTACATTTATAGAAAAATAATTATGTGCACCCGCGAAAAATCAAATGCATATCTGTATATCTTTTTGAATTGAGCACCATCTTTCAATAAATCACGGAGAGAGCTCAACATAGACTTCAGTTTTATTATATTGTCACATCTAAAAAGTAATAAAACAACTTTTCAAAATATATCATCCAGCTGCAAAAACTGTTATACTTATTGTGTACAAAAAAACATTTGAGTTGATTTACAAGGAAAAAGATTCCCCTGACTCTTTAAACCATTTGCTTAACATTTTTAAACAAACAAATTAAACTTTTAAAACTTTTTATATGTGGAATGGCGTGAAAAATTCTAAAAAAATTATATTTTGAAATAAATTAGAAATCTATTTTACAAGATATTTTTTTATAAAAAAGTATAAAGACAAATTAAAATTGTAAATATTTTTAAAATTATGATGTTTTAGCAATACTATGAAACATAACTTCAATGAAAAAGACACAAAAAAATTGATTTGATTTAAAGTTTCATGTCTCTACTAGTAATTAAACAGATATTTTTTAATTGGAATTAAAAAATATCTGTTTAGTTAAAAATAACAAACTAAATTTGAAAACCCATTAATAGATAAAATATTGATATATATAAAAAACCTAAATAAACCTAGATTGGTAAAAAATAAATTTCTATTAATGAGCAATATTGATAACAATTTTAGACAATACAACTTTGAGAAACCTTGTGATATTGGTGTTATGGTAGAGCACTTGCTTTTTTGATCACCACAACACCTCTACTAACACTGAGCTTAACTTATTTCTATGTGAAGCAGCCTTTATCGTCAAAGCTTGTGTTTTGGAGTTAAAAGGCTGAGATTAATTATACATAAAAAAACAAACAATAAAAAAAAAAAATTAAAAAAGTACTTTACCCAACTCTTTCATTTATACAACATTAAAATTTGGAATAATTCAAAAAAGTTTTGTACAAATACAAAATTTTGTAGAGAACAGTACAAAAGCTGTTCTGTACAAAAATTTTGTACAGAACAGCTATCTAAATATGTTGACATTTTATGTTCTTATGTGCAGCATACAATGTTCTGAGAAATGTACACTGGAGGATAGTGTACACTAAAAGATGGTATACACTGGAGGATGGTGTACACTGGAGGATGGCGCACATATTTTTTGCAATCATAAGTTTTAAAACATCTATTATAGCAGGCTTGGTCGGAAAGAGGGTGCGATTGCACTTGATAATTGACCACGGAAATAATATTTAGTTGCGAAAAACCGGCCAGATTTTTTAGTTCTTTTGAGAACATTTTAAAAACAAACAAAAAAGCGCAATAAGATTAACTGGACTGATGAGAGACAGTTAAAAAAAGAAAAATAGCTTTTAACGCGAAAAAACTTTAGGCAAAATAAATACGATTAGAGCAAATATTTTTGAAACGTCGCTATTTTATAATTATTTTATAAAATAAAGCGGTATTTATCATATAAAGTTACAACTTACTATTAATGATTGTTTAATAAGAAAACAAATATTTTTCGATTTATCAAAGAGTATATATAATTTTTATTTATATACTTATGTCTTATTTCCAGTGCTAATTTAAGGAGGGGGGGGGAAGAGGTTGTAGAAGGGCTATAGCCTCGGGACTCACAATGTTAGAGGCGCAAAATAGTCAAGAGAACCATTCGGTATTTTTTTTAGTCGTGTTTACGCTGTGACACATGAAAAAGGCCACCTAAATAATGCAGCACCAAGCTCTGGGTGAACAAGATTCAACCAATAAAACTAACGGTAGATCATTTATTTATAAATAAAAAACAATAAACTAACGCTAGATGATTTATTTATAAATAAAAAAGTTTTTTCAATAACTGTTTTATGCTTTGTGTAGCTTGAAAAGTTAACACATTTGAAACAATTCTTTATAGTAAGATAAACAAATAAAATAATTAAATCATTGAGTTACTGTAGAAATTCAATTAGCTAGATAGAAATTAACTAAAAACGTTAAATTACTTTGTGAGGAGGAAGTGGAACTGCTTCACAATACCGCTGAAATGTTTAGCGAGTGGGCTTTATAATTTTAATTAGTATCTAAAACAGAAAAAGTAACTTTAAGTTTAAATATAACGAGTTTGTAAGAATGGCTAAAGCAAAAATAATTTAGTATAAATAAGTTAGTAAACCAATTTCTAAGAACTTAAAAACTTTTCTTTTTTGGGGGAAAGAACCAGTTATCGGGTACACTAAGGAAAATAAATTAACAGTCAAAGTTTTTTTGGGCGGACGTGTATTTCAGGCACCCCCTTTTAGTAAGTCCGTAAAAACGAGTCATGTTTTACGCATAACATTTATTAAAAATTATACTCTAACCTGAACCTTTTTTTGTATTAACTTTGATGATTATTAATAATTTCATTGAAAACGCAGTTATTATTGAAAGTATTTTTGTTTACAAAATCAATCGCACAAATTTCTTTAAAAGATTACATTTGAATAAAACATACATACATAAAATTACATACATAAAAATACATTACATACATAAAAACACATTACATACATAATAATATACATTACATACATAAAATACATTACATACATAAAAATCAGTGGCGGATTAAGACTTCTTGGGGCCCGGGACTAATTTTGTTTTCGGAGGCCTTTTTATGGGCCAGAGCCTAAAACTGACTTAAAAAAATAATAATTGTCCTCAAAAATTTTTAAGGGCCCCTAAATTTGCGGGGTCCGGGGCTATAGTGCCCTAGCCCCCCCTTGATCCAGCACTGATAAAAATCCATTACATACATAACAAATACATCCCTTATATATAAAAAATAAGAATATACTAATAAAATCTATTATAAATTTACAAAACTTTGACAAGTTAAAAAATATAAACTTAAAATATTTATTTTTGTAAACAAATGTTAGTTTAAATCATTTATAGCTTTGTAGATGTGGCTTCGAGAATGAGCCATAGAATTAAAAAAAAATAGTTCCTTTGATAGTATATTCTTAAAACAATTTAAGCTAGCTATTTTTTGAATAATCAAGAAATTTTGGTTAGTATTTTTTGAACCAATAGAATTAGTTGTTTGTAGATTTGGCAGGATTTTTGTGTTCGCGAATATTCTTTTTTTATTTTTCCGCACAGACCATCAAGTTTATGTATGTTTCCATGTATGTCCGTAAAACAAAATATTTTAAAATTTACGATAAAATATTGATTATTTTGCGGACAAACAGGGAAGCATACATTAATTTAAATGTTCTCAAATAGACTAAAAATTCTAGCCGGCTTTTCGCAATTAAATATTATTTCAATGGTCTATTTATAGAGTGCGATCGCACCCCCTTCCTGACCAAGCCTGTTATAGGAATTCTTGATCTTTTGTTAGAAAAAAAGTTAATTTAAAGAAATTACAACTGGTATTAATGGGGGCAAAAATAATAGCACTAAATGGAAATCTCTATGATTGTTTTTGGTCAGAAGTCAATAGATGGAATAAATGAAGATTAGGTTAACAACAGAATTAAGGGTAAAAGAAAATGACATCTAACAGCCCATCAAAGTGAATAATTAACAATCCATATTTGTTGACAATACAATAAACCTATTTGTATGAGCCACTATATTGTCCTCTAAGGTTTTGCAAAGGTGATAAGATTAAAAAAAAGAAGTATAAAACAAGAAATTCAAAAAAAAAAAAAATTGCAAACATTAAATGAAAAATACAAAATTTGCTTTCAAAATGTTGTTTTAAGAAGATAAAAATAAACTGTACAAAAATATCAAATATATATAGCTCCTAAATAAACATAGTTCTTTATGCTTTTAAAAAATTCAAACACATACTCCATAGATGCCATTCCATTTTTCCATTCATTTAGTTTAAAGTATCCCATACTTTCAGCACCTAACTTCCATGCAATTACAAGTGTAACAACCTATACATTGTAGTTTAAAAAAAAATTGAAATTAGAAAAAAAAATTCACAAAAACAACTATAATAATAAGTTAAAAAATAGTAAATTCTATATATATATATATATATATATATATATATATATATATATATATATATATATATATATATATATATATATATATATATATATATATATATATATATATATATTAGGGTGCATCAAAAAATTCTTCACAAGTAGGTCAACCTGGTACTCAAAGGAAGTGAAATTTTATAAAAAGTTCAAAAATAATATTTGTTTTATGTAAAAATTATTATTTTAAATTTTAATGCATAATAACTATGGTTTTTAACTAAAAATAAAAATTTAGTTAAAAACCATAGTTATTATGCATTAAAATTTAAAATAATAATTTTTACATAAAACAAATATTATTTTTGAACTTTTTATAATATTTCACTTCTTTTGAGTACCAGGTTGACTTACTTGTGAAGAATTTTTTTTCCCAGAATTTTAGGGGCCGTATAAATTTTCGAAGGACTTGGGGCACCTCTAAAAAATTTTTTTTTTCAAAATTTTTTGTTTATCCAGTGATATTTTATTATATCGCATATGTTTAGAGCACAGACAAGGCAATTTTTAAAAATTGTTGTTTTTGTAAAAATTGTTGTTTTGATGCACCCTAATATATATATATATATATATATATATATATATATATATATATATATATATATATATATATATATATATATATATATATATATATATATATATATATATATATATATATATATATATATATATATATATATATTGACATCATACTGAAATAGACACTTGCAGGGGCTTTAGTACATACATTGACTGAGGGTTCAAGCAAGTACAATCCTTTTTATCTTGATATAAAAATGATCAACAAAAATTTTATCACAAAATTTACACTGGAAAACTGCAAAGCTTACCTTGTAACTAGAGGTGTATTGGATAAGATATTTAGCCAGATAATCAGGCAAAAATGCCGGATAATCTGGTATCGTGCCAGATACATCATATATTTGGCCGGATACAACCGGATATGCAATTTTTGAGATTATCTTTGATCCCACTAGTGTTCATACTTTTATAAAAATTAGGAATTAACTGTTTTTGAGTAATTTAATTAATAAAAGTAAAAATGAAGTATTATAGTAAAATAATATAGTAATTGCGCACATTTCACTTTTGAATGAATGAAAATTTGATCACTATTGCTCACTAATTTTTCACTATAATTCACTAATCACTTCTAAATTTTGGAAAAGAAAAAAAAAAGAAACAAAAACTTTTGAAGAAGAAAGTAAAGACTTTATAACAAATAAAAATAAGAGTTACAATAACTTAAAAATGTTAAAATTATAATATATTATACTATATATAATGTATATACATAAATAAGCTACATTTACTATAGATATATAGCTGCTTTAGTTACAACCATAAAGAAATTCTTTTATTTTAAAAATTCCTAGAATTCCTACAAAAAGATGCCATTTTAAACTAACTCCTTAGATTCCTTAGACCATTAAAAATGGACGCAGCATTTTCGAAAATCGTTGAAGCCAAAATCTTTTAGCGAATGTGACATCACTTTGTAGCAAAAAACTAGAAAAAATAAACTAGAAATAAAATTTTGTTTAAATTTTTTTAAAAAAATTCTTTTTATTAAAAATATCTATTTTTTATGGGATATATTTTAATAAAGACTAAATGTAGTAATTACTATGTCATTTCTTTAAAACTATTTATTAATTACTATTAGGGTTGTACCGAACTTTGACTCCGGCTCCTGCTCCTCTAGCCCAAATCCGGCTATTTTTACAAATCCGGCTTTGGCAAAATATCAGCAAATTCGGCATAATTTTAACCGGATTTCTGAATTTTGGTCAGATATTTATAACATATTTTGTGCCCGTGTTTACATGTATACTTAATATTTTATTTATAAATAATGTTTTTTGTAATTCTATATTCTATGAACTTTATGTTTGGTTTGGTATCTGTATTTGCATTTCTTTAAAATTTAATTAGCTAAGCCTAATTTCAAACAACAACACAACAAAAAATTATGAAGGGATAACACACGATATTCTGCAATGATGCAGGTGTAAAGACTATGAAGTCAACCCTAATCAAGTCATTGGATGAATGTTTTAAAGGCATTGAGAAGAAACTTCTTTATATAGTGGCGACACTGGTTAACCCACAATTTATATAAATTCTTCTCAATACAGGGCAACACTGACAGGTGAAAAAGCAAGATTGAGATAAATCTTAGCATGCTGAGCAGCAGATTGACAAAACTGAAGAAAATCCAGCAAAACAAGCCCGGCTGGATCATTCTTCTACACCATCATCATTATCCTGGCAATATATTGATGAAATTATTCAGTCTACGTTAGCTGGTGGCACAGCACATGAACAAGAATTACCAACCAATGAGGCATTGACACTCAGCTAAGCCAATATCTGGATGAACCAAAAATAATCAGACAACTGATCTACTACAGTTGCAGAGTGACAACATCCCATAAAAAAAGTTCTATAGAATTTCTCTAAACTTATGAAACATGGTCTATAGAAACTCTATAGAATTTGTATAGAATGTCTATTAATTTCTATAGAAATTGCTGTAAAACTTTTTAAATAAACAACAATAAAGTTTAAGAGAAAACACCGGTCATTTGGTATTCTGAATAGTCAATATGGTTGACCATTCTCAGCACCAAGTAGAGATATACAGGAATTTGTCTCATGTAGTTTCAAAATCCGGTTCAAGATAAAACACCGGTCTGTTAGTAGAAATCCAGCAAATCCGGAACCAGCCGGATCTGGACAAATTAAATCTGGTACAGCCCTAATTACTATTGTTATAAATACAAACTCTTATCCTTGAAATAATATATCTGTACCACTTTTACATCTTTTTGTGCAATTGTATACACCCTAATTAAAATTAATCAAAAAACATAAGATGAATCCAAAAACAATCATGACCTAAAATAAGATTTTTTTGCAAAAGTTTTGCTTAGTGACTGACTTCACTAAGCAAAACATTTTTAGCTTCACTTTTAGATTAGCATTATATAGCTAAGGCTGCGTCTATCATTTTTAATGGTCTAAGTTAAGTTCAGGTAAAACTGGATAAACTCAAACATAAGTAATATTTAAGAATTTTGGTCAGAGCAACAATTAAGGAGTCATCACTGGGGGAGGGGGGCACATCTAGAAACTCTGTCCTTTTATTCTTCTACAATATTTAACATATTGGGTATATATGGCATATCCCGCCGAATATATAAATATATATCTGGCATATCTGTATCCGGCCTGATATGTAAAATATCATACCCAATACACCTCTACTTGTAACTTTAATTTTTATTTTTATTAAAAAATTATAACATAGCTAGTTTTACTTTGAGCTCTTTAACTAAACACTATTACTAATACTATTTTTAATTATAAATTAGTGTGATATACTAAATTATGTGTAGTATACTAAACTAATGTTATATTCTACAGGGCAGCAGCAGGTGGAAAAATAATTGAATTAGATTACATTTTTATCATTGATTTGACCTTGTTATACGATTTTGTTACGAAATGGAAAAATCGAATACAAGTAAATGAAACTTTACTCAATAAAGATAATTACATTGTTGAAAGTTAAATTATGTCAGTTGCCTATTTTAAAGTACCGCATTGCATTTAAATTTAATTTAAAATCAAGTTAAAAACCATTTAAAGTCTTTATCTTTATTAAATATTTATAAAACATCTTTAAATTAAACAATATTGTATAAAAAAATTTATCAATTAAATTTAAATATCTTGTTTGAAAGAAAAAATTCTTTATTTTAAAAAACTTATACTTATTTCAACTTATACTCTTAAGACATTTATAACACAACATTATCATCTCAGGAATTGTGCATAAATTATAACACAACATTATCATCTCAGGAATTGTGCATAAATTATAACACAACATTATCATCTCAGGAATCGTGCATAAATTATAACACAACATTATCATCTTAGGAATTGTGCATAAATTATAACACAACATTATCATCTCAGGAATCGTGCATAAATTATAACACAACATTATCATCTCAGGAATTGTGCATAAATTATAACACAACATTATCATCTCAGGAATTGTGCATAAATTATAACACAACATTATCATCTCAGGAATTGTGCATAAATTATAACACAACATTATCATCTCAGGAGTTGTGCATATATTATAACACAACATTATCATCTCAGGAATCGGGCATAAATTATAACACAACATTATCATCTCAGGAATTGTGCATAAATTATAACACAACATTATCATCTCAGGAATCGTGCATAAATTATAACACAACATTATCATCTCAGGAATTGTGCATAAATTATAACACAACATTATCATCTCAGGAATTGTGCATTAATTATAACACAACATTATCATCTCAGGAATTGTGCATATATTATAACACAACATTATCATCTCAGGAATCGTGCATAAATTATAACACAACATTATCATCTCAGGAATTGTGCATAAATTATAACACAACATTATCATCTCAGGAATTGTGCATAAATTATAACACAACATCATCTCAGGAATTGTGCATATATTATAACACAACATTATCATCTCAGGAATTGTGCATAAATTATAACACAACATTATCATCTCAGGAATTGTGCATATATTATAACACAACATTATCATCTCAGGAATCGTGCATAAATTATAACACAACATTATCATCTCAGGAGTTGTGCATATATTATAACACAACATTATCATCTCAGGAATCGGGCATAAATTATAACACAACATTATCATCTCAGGAATTGTGCATAAATTATAACACAACATTATCATCTCAGGAATCGTGCATAAATTATAACACAACATTATCATCTCAGGAATTGTGCATAAATTATAACACAACATTATCATCTCAGGAATTGTGCATTAATTATAACACAACATTATCATCTCAGGAATTGTGCATATATTATAACACAACATTATCATCTCAGGAATCGTGCATAAATTATAACACAACATTATCATCTCAGGAATTGTGCATAAATTATAACACAACATTATCATCTCAGGAATTGTGCATAAATTATAACACAACATCATCTCAGGAATTGTGCATATATTATAACACAACATTATCATCTCAGGAATTGTGCATATATTATAACACAACATTATCATCTCAGGAATTGTGCATATATTATAACACAACATTATCATCTCAGGAATCGTGCATAAATTATAACACAACATTATCATCTCAGGAATTGTGCATAAATTATAACACAACATTATCATCTCAGGAATTGTGCATAAATTATAACACAACATTATCATCTCAGGAATTGTGCATAAATTATCACACAACATTATCATCTCAGGAATTGTGCATAAATTATAACACAACATTATCATCTCAGGAATTGTGCATAAATTATAACACAACATTATCATCTCAGGAATTGTGCATAAATTATGCAATACTTAATTTATTTCAAAAAACAAAAGTAGGAGATCTTTAGGTTTTTTTAAAAAAACAAAAGTAGGATTTAGGTTTTCAATGCAGCGATTTTCATTAAACTTTAATGCGCTATTTTAATTTTTATTTAACTTAAGCGGGAAGCCTTTTGATCTTTTTATTTTATTTATTAGTGAAATTTAAGGTTGGGGTAAATTATAGACTTATGATTGCTTTCTTACAATTTATTTGTTTTTTTTTAATAAGGGTACATGCTCTTAAACAAATAATTTCTTAATGGTCTTAATAAATGGTCTTAATGGTCTTAATAAATAATGGTTATAATTTCTTAATAAAAAATAAAAAACTATCAACAATTTTCTTTTAAATTTTGGCTTTAACAAAATCTTTGCCTACTACTCATAAACTTGTTAATCATTTCTGATTGACACAATTTTATTATTGTGCCAACTTTTTTAAAATTGAAAAATAATTTTTTACAACAGCAGGTTCTTGTGAACTATTTTCAATTTGATTAAGCTCTTCACTGTCATCTTCACTAACATTATTATTATCATCATCATCATCAATAATATTGCTCTGGTCTAAAATTTCTGCTGGTTTTATATAAACTATATCCCTTACTGCCAAATGCATTGCATGGGCATAGCAAATGTGATGTAGTGGCTTAATTAAACCTCCAAATTTAACCGTAACAGATGCACCGTCTGTAGTTGTACTAACAATATCATAATTAAAATCTAGTTTAAATTCTCTCAACCTTTCACTCACTATCTCAACTGCTTTTTCAGATGGCATACTTCCAACAACACGTACAAGGCCAAGATTAAAAAGGCTTTCATTTGTGTGCACATTAATGTTCATATAAAGACGCATTTTAATGTATTCATTAAAGTGTATTCATCAACAATTAAGCTAAATCTCATTGTTAGCTTTCATTTCTTTTAATTCTGACGCCAATTGAGTCTTAATGTCTTTGGCATGAGCCAATAAAATATTTCTAATAGAAACTGAACTTGAAGGTAATTTGTGTTCTTTGGCTAAAGCAAATTCTTGTAATCTCTTACTTTTAGCAACAGTATTAAATGAAAGTCCATCAATCGCGATGAGATCTGTTCATATAGTGGCAATGGTATCTTTAGTTTATACAAAATTTCTGATATCTTTTTGGGATGAACTTTAAAATACTTTTGTAGTAGGTAATAATGGCAATTCTATTTTATGTTTTATCTTTAAATGCTCTCGCATCACACTAGTACAACCTCCTTTTATTGTTACAATAACGTTACAGGTTTTGCATTTAGTAGTTTCGTTTACTTTGCACTTTAAGAAATGCTGCCAAACAAGAGTATTGCTTGTAAATTCTTGAAAAGTAATTTTAAAAATGGTTTTTTAAAAATTGCTTTGATATAGAATAATACTTTTAAGTGTAAACAGATTGACAAGCTGTTGTACGCGGATTTAACAACATTGTAAAAAGTAATATTTTGTAAAAATACTTGAGAACCGAATACCCGAACAAAATAGATCCGGGTACGGATTTTAAATTCAGGACACAAGTACCTGGGTATTCGGATCCAGATCTTGGATCCGACTATGCCCTAACAACAAGTAGCTAATTTTAAATGTCTAAAATGACAGTTTGGGGCACATTGGCAAGGTGGCAGTGGATAATAAATATTTCAATGCTGCTGATGTTCCAATATTAATGAATAGCAACACTCTGATTCTATTCTGTGCTTTTTTCATCTTATAACTCTTATATTTCTTTCATCTTTGTATAAAATACATTCTGTGCTTTTTTCATCTTATAATTCTTATATTTCTTTCATCTTTGTATAAAATACATTCTGTGCTTTTTTCATCTTATAACTCTTATATTTCTTTCATCTTTGTATAAAATACATTGTAAATATAGTTCAGCATAATTTTGCCATATAGTACAAAAAGTATAAAAGTGCATTACATATCTAAATATCTAGTTCACTAGTACATATACAAATGTATTACATATCTAAATATCTACAACTAAATAAACAGATAATAAAATAAAAAATATTCATACATCCTCAGGTTCTACTTGCAAGTCTTTACATAACCTTTCAATACCGACAGGACCAATAAATTTTTTATTCTCGTCTGAAGGAAATGCAATAACTTTCTATTACATTACAATTTAAAAATAAAGCAACAACAAATAATTTTTTTAGTGAATTTATGTAAATATACATTTTTTATGACTCATTAATTTTACAATAAAACTTGTCAACTTAAATAATATTAATAAAACAATGTTGTCAATTTAAATAATATTAACAATTCAATGTTGTCAATTTAAATAATATTAACAATACAATGTTGTCAATTTAAATAATATTAACAATACAATGTTGTCAATTTAAATAATATTAGGAAACTTTTTTGTTTTTGTATAGTTTTTAAATTTGGTAATAGTGCTTTATTTATTGGGTGTGCAATATTGAGTATATTATTTAAAAAAATAGTCAATTTTTTTTTCTATTTCAATTCACCTCCCCCTAAGCCATGGAGGCCACTACAGTCAAGGAGACTACATTAGCGGTGGGTAAAACCCTCTCTCAACTCTATAACTCTGAAACACAAACCTTGACAAACAATACTGCTGCGTGGAGAAAAAAGTTGAGCGCTGTACAACCAGTGACGTGTTGGGGATCAAACTTGGAACTTTTAGATTATTAGGTGAGTGCTCTACCGCTACAGCAAATACTTGCAAATGTATTATATTATAATAAAATATATAATGTTAATAATAGTGATTAATAAATAATAAAAGATAAATAAATAATAAAAAATATTAATTAGTTGCATTACTATAATAACATAAAACTTTAATTTTTTTTTCATTTTTAATTTTCATTTTTTTAAATGTTTTTAAATGTTGAAAATTAAAATTTCATTTTAATTTTCATTTTTTTAATCTTTTATTTCTAAGTTTCAATTATTTCTATATTTTCTTATTGCAGAGAAAAAGCATTTTAGATTTAGAATTCATTCAAATTAAATCTATGTGAGTTAAAGAGTATAAATACTCTTTTATTAGTAATTTTAGCTAAGATTAATTTTAGTTTAACCTAAATTAGTTGACTAATATATTAACATGACTAAAAGTTTAGTATATTTAAAATTAGTCAATTATTGTCAGCCAACTAAAAAGTAATTTATTAGTCTAAAATAAGTATTAACTTATACAATTTCTTTTTTTTTGTCCAATTAAATGGTTCACAAATCTTTCAACATAATTCCATTTAAAAAAAATGTTTTTACGAAAAGTTGTTAATTACTATTATTTGCCTGCATACATTTTACTTCTTATTAAGTTCTTAACTTCTTGTTAAGCATTTTTAAAACTTAAGCAAATTTTGAGATAATAGACAACTTAAACAATTTTTTTTTTTTTAAAAGATAAATAAAAGAAAAAATTTGTTTAAAAAAAAAATAATCCAAAAAAATCACTTAGTTTGAGAACTAACTATAGTGTAAAGGTATAGTTTTACGCGTCTTTAACAAATTAAAACATTAAAATAATTCTTATATTCAAACATTTAAAAAATTGATCTATAAGATTAATTTATCAAAAGTTCAATATAAGAAAATTAATTCTATTTAGCTATATTTATGTTTCATTAACTGCAAATAATTCTTTTTGAAATAAGGCAGCAAAAATTAAGAACATACAGAGTGAATAACTACATAGAATTAGTGTTGTACCTGAACAAAACATAACATAAAAATTAGTCTAAATAAATATTTACAATGATATATTTTATCTATTTTATATATATATATATTTTTTACTTACACTTAATTTATTAATGTTGGATTAAAACAATCGACAAATTTTGAAAAAGTTTTTACTTTGATTAAAAAAAGGTTATAAAAACTAAACTTTCTTTTTTTTTAGTTTTATTAGATTTTCTTATATTCCTAATTAAAAAATAAATTTTATATGATAGTCATTCAAACGTTAATTAAAATACCGTTTAATTTTGAAAACATTAATTTATTTATTTATCAAATAGCTTAAAAGATATTTTCAGACTCAAAATTTAATATTGTAAAAAAAAAAATAGTTTCAAGATAAAATAAATAAAATCACCTGCATATTTGTAAAACCACTCTTCACATTTACGATCTGAATATTTACATAAACTTGCTTCACAACTTAAAGCAGACTTGAAATATTTCTGCATTGAACTATGAAAAACAATTCTCATTACTTAATATTATATATATAATATAATATATATATACATATATATATACATATATATATATATATATATATATATATATATATATATATATATATATATATATATATATATATATATATATATATATATATATATATATATATATATATATATAACATTAATATAAGATTTTTGATTTAGCGGCACTTCTTTGTAGTAGTTTATAACATAGTTAATGTAGCAGCACTCCTTTGTAGCACCAGGTTATTAATAGTGTTTTTTTAAATGTTTTAAAATAATTAAAAAAACACTATTAATTAAACAATCAAAACAATCTTGACTACGATATAAGGATATATATATATATATATATATATATATATATATATATATATATATATATATATATATATATATATATATATATATATATATATATATATATATATATATATATATATATATGAGTGTGTATCATTAAAAAAAAAAAACTTTATCCAAGTTTATAAACTTTTTCTGACCTGGCTAATTAGCGTTCTCTTTAAAACTACAGTTTATGGAAGAAACTTATTTAGTGTTCAGAGACATTAGATATCTGTTTACTGATAATTTATTTATATATATTATTTTTTAATGATATAGTCCTAATGCAACATATAAATGCAGTTTTTTTGCTAAATACATAAAAAAAAAATTTCACAATTTTTATTTGAAGACAAGACATTCATTTTGGACATTTGTGATTTTTCTGTTGTTAATTCATCAACTTTAGGGCACTTATTTTGTTAAATGTAGATGGTAACACACTATTATATACAACCAGCTCCGCAGAGAGCCATAATTTTAGACGATGCAAGAGATATTTTTGGGCCCTTTACCCATAATTCTAACATTTTATACTATTACTGTATGCTTTTGCTGAATCAATTGTGGTTTAATTACACATTGGTTTTTGAAATCGGCAATTGTTCACAATGAGGATGCAATCTTGCTTTACAGTTTTATTTCTAGCTACAGTTATTTCATTTACTAAAAAATATTAATTTAAAGAATAATTATTAACTGTTTTGAATTATTGTTTTGTTTTTTTATGTAATTAGTTTTTCTTTCATTATTGGATTAAAGGATATTTCTGAAATAAAAATTCAGGCTATTTGTTACATTTCAACCATGTTCAATAATACAATAATCAATCTCAACAAATATACAAGTACTTTAATTTAAAGTACTATAATCTACTGATTCAGTAGATTATAGCACTTTAATTTAGATTGTATAAATCTAGCTAGAAATTTCTCCTTTTTTTCTCTGTGTGCCCCTTATTTTCGATTTATCTAGTTGAATTCTAGTTAGATTCCAGGGTAGCCAGGTTTTTTTTCGGGCACAAGCCAAAAATGAAACAAAAATAAACCAGAAATAAACCAGACCAAAAAACATAATTTTTTGTTTCAAAGCCTTGTTTATAATTTATATTTTGAAAAAAATGTTTTTTTATCCAAAAATTCATCCTTGAATACTAAAATTTAATTTGTAAGAGAGTGAGTGAGGAGAATGACTTAGTGAATGTTTAATTGGGTGCCAGTCCAGCCTTCAAAGTGGCTTGGGTAAACTAGTTCACTCCCAAACACCTATACTAAATCCAACACTATTAACCTGTAAAGTATATATATATTATTTTGCTTGCATATGGATATAGATTTATTTTCCAACATATGCGATAATTAACTCAATTATTTCAAAGTCCTGGTAAAAAATCTTTTGCTTTATTAAATATGATTTGACCCAAATGACTGCATGCAATACTTAATTTGATACTTTCTTAGTCTAATTTTTATGCAGATGACCTGTGAGAAGACTCAACAAAATAGTTAGAAACGGAACACATAAACAGCCAAGGCAGTAAACATCTATATTGCAGAGGTCTAGGTCTCCGGAAACATCTAAATGGGTTTACAAAGCAGTTTAGAATTTAGCGGTGTTTTTAGAAACTCATTTTTTTTAAAAGTTTTTAGACTCGCTCTTATGATGCAATGTTAATTAATTTATGATTAATGACGATTTCTGTAATGATTTTCAATTTCTCCACCTTTAGCATCCTTAAGATATAATTGTAGACTTGAAATGGCCTTTTTAACTTGTGAAACAACATTCAATACAGGCAGATTTTTCTCAAAAAATGTAATTTTGAATGTAAGAGTTTTCTAATATTTTTGGCAATTAAAGGATAAAAACAACATTTGAATGACATTTACAAGTAAAAGTTTTTAACGTTTTAAGATTTTAATGTAAGCATTTCTTTCATTTATCTTAAACTTGATTGTTCTTCTATATAAAGAAAAAATGGAAATCTTTCTTTCCCTCAAATTAACTTTTTTTAAGAAAAAAAAATTGATTAAATTGATTTATTATTAAATAAACCAGAGTTAAACCAGATTTTGAAAAACATACTAGAACAAACAAAAAAAGACCAAAGACTTTAAAATAAACCAGATTTAAGCCAGATTTTCTAAAATAAACCAAAACAAAAATTTCAAGCCAAACGATAAAAAAACAAACCAGATTTGAGAAATCTGGCTTAAAAAAACACCAGATGACAACCCTGTTAGACTCTCTTTAGAATTTTTCAGTGGGACCAAAATATGCCCATCTTTTAAGTGTATGACAATTTTTAACAAGTAAGAGGCAACAGAGCTATGTTTGCTTGTTTCATTGTATCAGGCACTTTATTTGAAGTAGACATATGGGATGTAACACACATAAATTTATATATTTTCCTACATAATTATATAATTAACAAACATAATTAAATTACATCTAACTTTTAATATTTTAATTTCTCTAAGTGAACATATCTTAAATGGAAAAACAACCAAAAAGTTTGAAAAAAGGCTTTAAAAAAATATCTTGTATCATGTTTATAAAACATTGAATGGTTCTGGGGTTATATGAGAGGTCTGGAAAACATTCCTCCAACTGTCTGGTGTCTCTGCTAAAAACCTTTGATACGCTTTACATTTGAGGCAATTGATAATTTAATAATCATGTAGCATAGAGCATACATCATCACACCATTAAATACAGATTTTTACAATAGCATGCCTTATATATAATTATATATATACAAAAAAAAAAAACTTGCCTCTTTAATATCTAGGTAAAAACACTTTCCTTTCACCAACTCATATAAACCTTTATATAAGACCGAAGATAAAAACTTGGAATTTTTTTTTCCTAAACTCAACACTATATTTAAAATTTCATCTAATAATATTTTAGTATTTGAAAGTCATTTAAAGTTTACGAACTTTAGCTTTGTGTAAAACCCTCTCTCAACTCTATAACTCTGAAACACAAACCTAGACAAACAATGCTGCTGCGTGGAGAAAAAAAATGAGCGTGGTACAACCAGTACCACTATTATATACAACCACAATTTACTCAGATGTATGTGATGGGATGTTAATGCCTACCCCCTCTTCCTTTTCATAAAAAAATTTGAAATCAAAAAACATATAAAAGATTTTTTAATTTTTTTTTTATATATTACAGGTATATACTGTGACAAATTTTGTTGTAGACCATTACAGGTATATACTGTGACAAATTTTGTTGTAGACCATTACAGGTATATAATATTGTCAAAATCAGGAGTTTGAACTGAAAAGCCTGGTTAAAATATTAGAAGAATATTAGGATTTATGTCTTTAATCAAGTAATGCTTTCTTAAACATTTTAAACCTACAGAAAAACTTTTGAAAAAACCTGCTGTTGAAAATAGTACACTTGCTAAAGAAAATGTACAATTAATAGTTGCCATCTAATTCTTGAAAAAAAAAATAGCAACAATATTGCATTTGTTTGCAAATAGCTTATATTAAATAGACTTATTTCAATATTTGAAATTTGCAGCTGAAATTGTCTGGTGTCTCTGCTAAAAACTTTTGATACATTTTACATTTTTGATACGCTTTACATTTTTATTAAATTATCAGTTGAGGCAATTGATAATTTAATAATCATGTAGCATAGAGCATACATCATCACATCATTTGTTGCCAACAGTTTCATCATAGCAATAAAAATATACTTTTTGAGTTAAAAGTATATGAGTGTTGAAAAAAAAAAAAGACAATTGCCTAGAATAGTGTTCTATTGATTAGGCATATCAGGATTTTTTTAGGAAATCCAAGCAGATTACTTCACAAATAAAAGTGTGCTGAGTCTGAAGACATTCAGCTTTTTTCTTCTGATAAAATATTTTCTCTGTTGTTCTTCTGTTGTTAAAACGTTTTCTCTGATAAAGCGAGTGAGTGATGCATTCAAAACTTTCATTTAAAACTGAATTATTTAAACATACCTGTTAAATCAAATTTAGATATACTACGGTGTTCCTTAAAACAACCTTTTTTAAAAAGGTCTGCTCTCACCCTCTAAATGTGTTCTATATAATAAAATAATACTAGAATGAAAAAAATTTTAAAACAAAAGTGTTTTTAGGGGTAGCCCAAGATCCTTAAACATCAGATGGGTCTCTATAATCATCAAAAAAATAGTTCTTCAAAAGTATATTATGTTGGGTCTCAGAAGAACTGAAATTATATAAGAACTTTAAAAATAATCATCATTTTATAAAAAACATTCAGATAAAGAAATTATAATGAAAATTTTTTAACGTCTTTTTCTTGGCAGTGGAATCTAAAATAATTTTTTTATAAAATGATGATTATTGTTGAAATTTTTACATAATTTTGCTTCTTTTGAAACCCAACATGATATACTTTTGAGAAACTTTTTTTTTTTTGATAATTATAGCAACCCGTCTGATGCTTAAGGGCCTTGGGCTACCCTTTAAATTTAAATTTTTCATAAATTTTTTTATTCTAGTATTTATTTATTATATATAAAATACTTAGAAGGTGAGAGTAGACATTTAAAAAAAAAGATGTTTTAAGGACCATCCTAAGATATACACAGATTGTTTTGTGTACAAAATTTCTAAAATGTTTAGCTAAGACTTATGAATAACTATGGAATTAAGGTTGTTCTGCTATTAATTTTCTGTTTCGTCTATAACAAAAATAAGGAATTAAATATCCAACTCATGCTCATTGTTGTTTTTATATAGTTAAAATATTATATTTTTTTATTCTTTCATCTTCTATTGTAATTTCAAAACACTTTAGACTAACACAGTTACATGATATTCCTGTCTTGTGATTTTTCAATCTTATATACATATATATATATTTTTTTGAAAAACAATAATACTACCTCATCATTTGAAATTTGAAATTTTTAGAATGTTTTATACAAACCTTATATTATCCTCTGTGTTTTTTGCCTTCTTAGCAGAAGTTTCTGTATATAAAACAGCTTTCTTACGCTTTGGAGGCATTTAAGTAGTTGGATATTCTATAAATTGAAAATAACAAATTTCAGTCATCAAACATTTGTTTCGCATTACAGAAGTTTTTTTTTGATTAATGCAACTTTATATCACAAACTATTGTACACATTTTTTAATTTGTAAAATGTTTTTAATTTGTCTTGTTTATGAAAAATATTTACATTTTTGGTGCTTAAAAGAAATTTCAGACATATATATATACACATATATATATATATTAGGGATGGCAATCCCCGGACCCTGAAATCCCTGGATTTTGTACAAATTGTTCATCCCGAAATCTCGGGATTAGTCTCCGAAATTTCCCGGGATTAGTCTCTGAAATTTCCCGGGATTTCGAGATTGTCAAAAAAAGTAAAAGTTAATAAGTTTAAGCTTATAATTGTAATTAAGTAATTTGTATAGTATAAAAAATAAATAAAATTTTAGCGCTTGCTGGTGGAAAGAGCAAGTGTTTTTAATAAAAGGTTTTAGTAGAGGGTATACCTTCTATTAAAGTTTTTTTCTATTAAACTATTTTGATAGAAAAAAAATTTAATAGGTATACCTCAGGCCCGCAGCAACTGGGTGAGCAGCAGGGGTACTTCCCTCCCCCCAAATAATTTTTCAAATAAATAACTTTGAAGAAATTGATTGAAAAAAAGACTTCTATTAAAGTTATTTTAATTTTTATTTCCATTAATTTTAATTTTAAATATGTATGTGATTTAGGAAAGTTTAATTAGTAGTCATTTTATTAATAAAGTTAACAAAAAACAGGTTTATTAAATTACAAAATTTTCTTAGCGTCTGCCTAAGTAATAAAGTTATGCATACTTATATATTTTTCTAATTATTATTTTTACTTATACTGTGTTACGATTTTGAGAGTTTTTTATAATTTAATTTTTAAATTATAAAAATCTAAAAAAATTATATAATTTTATAATTTAAAGTACTCAGGTTCATTAATTTTTAAAAGCCTTAAATAAATTTTAATATAACAAAATTAAGATAAAACATGTTTGTAACTTAATTTTAGTTTCGTTAATGTATTAATTATTTTAGTTATATTATCACTAAACTAATCATTTTTAAATGTTTGATGAGTTTTTAAAAAGTATTTGTAGCGTTTTTAGTAGCGTTTTTTTCTATTCAATCCTGGGATTTCCCGGGGACAAATTTCTCATTCCCAAAATCCTAAGATTGAAAATTTCCAGGATTTTTGCCATCCCTAATATATATATATATATATATATATATATATATATATATATATATATATATATATATATATATATATATATATATTTTTTTTTTTTATTTGCATTCACTCCCAACAAGGCTGCAAGCAACCACTATTAAGTTGGGAGTTACTAGGAAAAAAAAGAACAGAGTTATAGAGCAAGGAAACGGTTGACAGAAGACTTGAAAAGTTGAAGGTTGAATGAGTCAGGAAAACATGAAGATGGGAGAGAGTTCCAAAGGATTGAAGTGCGGGGAAAAAAACTAGATGAATAAAAGTTTTTATAGCATGCAGGGACAGATACAGTAAACGAATGAGACTTAGCTGAATGACGAGTAAAACGAGAATGAATTTTAGTTGATGGAACTAGAGATGATAACTCCTTTGAGCAGTGACCATGATAGTATTTGTAGAAAAGAGAAAGAGATGCAAATTTACGACAATGGGAAAGAGGTTCAAGCTTAGCAGATAGTCCAGGTCCAACAATATTTACAATGCGATTTTGGACCTTGTCAAGAAGAGAAAGTGAATCGTCAGAAGAACCAGCCCAATTATGACAACAGTATTCCATACAGGGACGAATAAGAGATTTGTAGAGGTAGAGAATGGAATCAGAAGTAAGGAAATGGCGAGCACGATAAAGAGAAGCAACCTTAGCAGAAGCTAATTTAGCAATCGATTGTATATATGGTTTCCATGAAAGGTCAGTAGTAAGCGATAATCCAAGAAGATGTAAAGAGGAGGACTCAGTAAGAGGATTGCCATTCATTAATATAGGAATGTTGATCATATTACGGTAGTTGTTTGCAGTAAGCAACTGGGTTTTGTTAGAGTTAAAATTCACAAGCCACTGTGAACCCCAATCTATTACTGAAGTGAGATCGGATTCAAGATCAGCTGCTTGTTCTAGACGATCGTAATGAGAAGACTTTTTGTCAAGACAGGAGTATAAAGTTGAGTCATCAACAAAAAGAGCTACTTTAGATGAAAGGTTGTCAGGAAGATCGTTTATGTAGATAAGAAACAAAACATGGCCCAGGATAAAACCTTGGGGAACCCCAAAAGTTACTGGAAATAAAGAAGAGTGTTGGCCTTCAAGGATGACTTTAATAAACCGGTTAGAAAGAAATGATTTGATAATCTCAAAAACTTTCCCAGAAACACCATATGAAGCAAGCTTATGGAGAAGACCAGCATGCCAAACTTTGTCAAAAGCTTTAGATATGTCGAGATATATATATATATATATATATATATATATATATATATATATATATATATATATATATATATATATACATATATATATATATATATATATATATATATATATATACACTTACTAAAGCGTGTTTTGATAAGCATTTGCTCACTTTTTGTGCTTACTTCAAGGTAAACCGTTTTTTTCGAAAAAGAAGAAGAAAAAAACGAAGAATGATAAATAAAACGATTGCTTCCCCATCCCAAACCCTCAGTCGATGTAGCAGCACTTTACTGCAAGTCAGGCTATTTGTCAGTCATTGTATGTACTGAAGCCCCCAGCAGCCCGCTATTTCAGTATGACGTCAGTCTCTTTTAACAACAAGTACGTGACTTCAACAAATAAGCTACATTTTTATGTTGTCTAAAAGTCAAAACATTCAATATAATGCGGACTTTCATTATGTTTTGTTTTTTGAAAAACTGCAATAATAATGACTTAAAAGTTTTTTAATTAATAGTATTTTTATTTTTGTTTTTTTAAAAATATATTTTTTAAACATGCGGAATTTTGCTACATCGACTATCTTATAGCCTGCTACTACAAGGGAATGTTGCTACATTGACTATTTTATAGCTTGTTGTTACAAGCCCCTATAACATTAAGGTAATAGTTAGGTTATGTATTGTAATGTAAACGGAATTTATTACATTACGTGCAAAATGTCTGTTATTTTTACAGAACCGAGACTTACTATTCTAAACTAACACTAAGTCAAAAATGTTACGTAACAACACATAACATTTTGACCTAATGACACATAACATGGTAATCTATAGTATCTATCACTACAGGGCTTGAATTAAGCATATCGCGATTGTTGTTTACACTTTCGTAATTAGTTTTTTTCTTAAAATATATATTTTCGCGATTTATTTACTTTTTTAGTTGTTTACTTATTATTTTTCTAATTCAGCTTTTTTTTTTTGGCAATTGGCTTAAAAGTAATTTTTTTGGCTTTGGCTTAAAGTAATGTTTTCATAGTAAAGTGTGTCACACAAAGTTTGTCATTTGCTCTATTGTGCGGAGATTTTTATTTAACGTAAAGCACTTTTTAATTTAAATTACTATAAATCTCTGCGTAGAAGCAAATTAAAAAGACAAAGGTTAAAAAGAATTTTTTCTTTATTCTATTTTTTTTAATAAAACATTTTTATCTATTTTAAAAAAAAACGTTGCTCTAACTAACTTACTAATAATGATTGAAATCACTATTCTATAAACAATTTTATATAATTATTTTTTACTACTTTAATTATAATACAATCTATATTAATTTGTTTTTATTAAATCAAACTTCTATTAGTAAAATTGTGCTAATAGAAACCAGCAACTTTTTTGCTTTCACTTTATTTGCTTTAACGACCTTGAAACTATTAAAGTTATTTAATTAACTTTACTGAATGGATAGAGTATATCACAGTAAATTAACTTATAAACTAAATCAAAACTACCAGTTAAGTTATTATAGTAACTTACAGTTACCCATGTAATAATTTAACAATTATATTAATTTATTTAATATACTCACAAAAGTTTGCCATAGACATGTTTCAATTTAGATCTTACATGTTGTTAACACATAATATAAGCTTTTAACTAATAATTATTTTAACAAAGATTGTCGAACAAAATATGAAAAACGCAACACTATTTTTTTATATTTTCATTTTATCTATAGCGACATCTAGATTAAACATTTTCTATAAACACGCAATTTGTTTTCAGGAATTTTGTTTAAAAAGAAATCTATTAGAACAAGAGAACTTTAGCCTTGAAATTCACTTATTCAAATAATTTTGTGATTGAAATTTGAAATTGAAAAAAAAATTAATATTTTTAAAAAAAATGATGTAACAAGGGAGAATGAAAAAGAAAGTTTTTTTTTTTGTAAATCGTAAATTTTGTTAACGTTTTGAATTATATATTTTTTCTTGAAAATAGTTTTAAAAGTAGAAACATTCTATTGCAAACATCAAAGCAGTGATTGCAAATTGCAAGTTGAAACAAAATTATAAAAAATTCAAATTAAATTTAATAAATTATTTTACTTCTGTTCGAAAAAAAATTTTCTAAAAAATAATTTAAGCATATTCTTATACTTAATATAATTCGATTTATTAAACAAAATTTTTTGTTTCACTTTTTTTTAAAAAACAATAAAAATAAAAAAAAAAATGAATGAAAACATCAGATTAAAAACCATTTGAATGAAAAACTTAATTATACTTAAATTTTTAATAGTACGCTTGATCAGGAAACGATAATTTATAAAAGATGTGGTATCATGTTTTTTTGGTTTGATCTTACTCGTTTGGTCTATAGATTACAAACTCGTATAGGTCTATAGGAGCAAATATGAAGTTTTGTTTTAGTTTATCAACTAGATCAATTTTATTTACTTGCTTCCTTTTTTAATTTTCGATTTTAAACGCGTTTTATTTTATAAACTGTATAAATCAACACGAAACAGTGTCACAAATTTCTTTACATTAACCCAAGCTCTTTATATTTTTAAAACAATTTTGCAGTTTGTTTTAATGTTGTTTTATAGCTTATAACAATTAAATTTTTAAAATTTACACATGTTTTAACGTCAGCATGAACGTATTAAATAGTTTTCTTTGACTAATTAAAGTGGTTTAGATATTGTAATGTTGCTCTTTCTCTTACTTTTTTACTTTTACTTTTTTAAGTATCATGTTAAGTAAAAACAAATACTGAAAGAAATATCTTAATAGTATTAAATACGTTATTGCTTATTACAACTGCAACTTAAACTTTAAGTTATAACTTAAGTTGTAAATAATAAAAGTAACTTATGCTTTTTTAAACTTTGCCAAACAAGATATTTATATTTGAATATGAGAGATATCATGTTAAAATAGAACAATTAGGAATAAAAATTACAATTATATACTAACCCAACTTTCCTTCCCCCTCCCCCATTACCGCAAAGCGGCGCAAGGTAAAAGGGCTTTAGCTATTTTATGTATGTAATGAATTAGATTATTTAATAAGAAAGGTTGACATTTTATTTACTTTTTTGCTTGTGGGTTTATATTAACGTGTAAAGTATTATGCTTGTATTATTGTCCAAAAAAAAAACGTAATGCAACATACTAAAATCAAGATATGAGACGTAGTTAAAATAGATCTTAAATATACATTTTTTTAATGTTAATTTACATTTCAGTCAACATTTTTTAAAAGTTGCACCTTCATAAGTTAAAATAAAATAATTGAAACATAACTTTGCGAATTGAAACTTTTTTTTTTTATACAGTTAAAAAAAACAATGATAATAAGCAATTTAAAAAAAAAATTTTAGTTGTCTTGACAAACACAGTTTTCAATACCGTAACTGATGAGTTACAGTATTTAACAGAATTGTTTTATTTACAATACTATTTATATATTTGATTATTTATGTATTTGATTATTGAAAACGCAATAACACATTTGTCAAAACTATTGTAATTTAAAAAAATAAAATAAAAATTAACCCACGTTTGTGGGTTGGTTTTGAAAAAAGACTTCCAAAGGTAAGTACAACTTTTAAAGCTTTAGAAGTTGTATTTTCCTAAAAAAAAAAATTACATTTAAAAGTTAAGATAATTTACAGTACTTAGGCAATTTAAAGTACTTATTACCTTTAAAAGTATAACTAACTGAGAAATAGCATAATGTGAAACATTTAAGAATTGAAACGTAATTAAAATATGTTACAAATATAATTTTTTCACATTACATTACATCATTTTTTTTTTAAAGGTAACTAATCGAGACGTGACATAACGTTAAATAAATCTATGTTTGAAATATATTTTAGCTACGTCTCAAATCTAGATTGCGTTACGTTATGTTATGTTTCAATTGTTTACACTTTATAAAGTTTATTTACTTAACATTTGATTAATAAATAGAGAATGAAACCTTATTACCAATTGTAACCGATTGAGACGTTACATAACTTTAAAATGTTATAGGGGAAGGGTGTTCCTACATTTACTATCTTATAGCCTGCTGCTACATGAAGTGCCGCTACATCAACTGAGG